CACCAGTTTTCTTCTTTTGTTATACTACCCAATTTTCATGTGACAACAGTAACACGTTCTTGCGAAAGAAAATTATCTATGGTTAATTAGCCGGTGCAATACAACAACAATTGATCTTGTTGGGCTAAGTGATTTATCGACTATTCTTGAACTTGGGCCACTAGAGCAGTTGGTCACTTAATTGGGGATCCAACAAACATGCCCAAGTTCGAGTTCCCTTGCCCCCATTCCCCTTCTCCCAGCCCTAACAAACATCTTTACTGGAAAAATAAAAAGTAACCGCCTACAACAACAACACAAACAAATCCTCTTGTATTTTGTTCGGTTGCGTGTGGAGGATCTTCCAATATTTAAAACTTGCACTTACACCCCACACCCCACGCCCCCGGGGGCCCCCAGTATGTCTATTCACGTTTAATGGAAAATGCCTCTTGTGACTAACGAACCAAGTCCCGAGGGTGCTATATATGCCTCTTGTGACTTTTTTCAAAAATTTATGACAATGATATTTTTGAATCAGTTTTTTTTATGTTCTTAAACTAATTTTTTCATAAATAATTTTAAAAGGTTTTTTTAACTATCTTAAAGATAAATTTTTATATTAATTTTTATATTTAAAAAAATTAATTATATTGGGTATTATTTTCAAAACTTAAATTTCAAATATAATTTATAAAAAAATATTTATTTATCAATAATTCCATACCAGCATATACACTTCGCGGTTGTGGGTGTGAAGCAGAAGCACGGGCACCCAAACCATAAGGAGGCCCAGTGCCATTCACAAAATAACGGTGACGATTGCGCCATAGGTTTTCCTTTTCGAGCAGTGACGACTGCACCATAGGCATACTGATAGATAGTCGACCGCATCCGCCAGTTCTTCGTGTAATACACGTAAAAATATTGAAACACTGAATAGACACGGAATGGTCCATGGAGAACTCGTCTGTTACACATTTCATCTTATCTCTAATCTTTGCATAAAAGTTCAGAATATTTATGGATTCTCGATTATTTTGTGATAGAAGACTCCGGATGTAATAGACAAGGAAGATCGCAATCAATGTCTGGGAGTTAGACAAAGCTAATTACATTCCATGTAAAGTACTTTTCACTGGTGCCGCTACCTAGGCTCTTGCAGCTCCACAACCATATGCATTTCACACCCGCTCGTCCATTTGTTAAACCCTTATGGTATCTAGTATATGATAATTCTATTCATGGGAAAAGATCAAGACAAAAGCCAAAAGCCAAAATCCACAAGGTTGTTAGTCTTCTCATCTTGAATAAGACAGCAACAGTTGCAAAGAAAAGTTACATCAAAATCATGGTTTTCCTCTGAATTATTAAAGATTTCCATAATCTCTTCTTTTTTGGGTTTTCGCTATCTGATCTTCCCAATCTTGGCCCACTGTTTCTAATATTGTTCCTTACAATTCTTGTGCAAGCCATTTTTTTGGAGATATAAAATTTCTAACAGTACAAATGGTAAGATAAAAGACATTTCCTTCTTTTTTTCCATTCTTAATTACTGTTTTACATTCCTCAACACGTTAGAGCAATCTATCACACAGGTAACTATACTGTATATTTACATTAGTTAAGCACGCGAGAGTAACATACTAACATCACACAGAACTCCAGCATACAGCCCGATGGGCTGCGCACTTCAATGAAGGGGGTGGGAGATTATTTTTTTTGAGATCGAATCTCCAGTTACTAACAACTCCTAACCTAACTATTAACCATTACTCTTATAAAAAAAATACTAACATCACACAGCTAACTGGTTCATAAAAAAAAAGAAAAAGAAAAGAAAAAGAAAAAAAGACACACGTGACTATACTTTAAACATCAACATTGTGAAATTTGACCATTTTCTTTGTTTCTTCTATCTGCGCCTAGGTAGTGCTTTGACCTTCAAAGGGTTTGCCATTTCACAGGAGAGCCTCAACACCTCAGTGAGATCAACCGGGTCATGATCCGATTCTACCCATTCGAACTCGTGCAACAACGACCCGACCCAAAACGTCACGTTTGCCAAACCCAATGCCTTTCCCGGGCAACTCCTCCTACCCGACCCAAATGGCGCCAACCTCAGGTCCGATCCCAAAACGGAAAACTCCACATCAACACCATCCTTCCGCACAAATCTCTCCGGCGAAAACTTTAGTGGGTCCACCCACACTTCAGAGTCCCTGGTAATGGCCCACATGTTGACCATGGCCGTGGTCCCCGCTGGCACGTGATGACCGTCAACAGTGGTGTCTGTGATTGCTAAACGGGCCCACGACAAAAGTGGGCCGGGTGGGTGTAACCTAAGGACCTCCTTAACCACCGCCGACAGGTACCCCATTTTTTGAACGTCCGATTCTCTCAACGGCTGTGATCTTCCGACGACATAATCCAGCTCATCGTGCACCTTTGATTGGATTTCCGGATGGAGTACCATTCTGGCTAGTATCCACTCGATCAAAACCGCCACCGTATCGGTTCCTCTAAATATCATTTCCTATAATAAACAACAAATTAAAGTAACTGAATTTTAATAAATAAGAAGCACACATGTTGAAATTAATTTTATTTATATTTGCTTTATATTTTTTTAAAAATTAATTATTTTTATATTGATCTAAAATTTAAATCTTGAATTTAATTTACAAGTTACAATATTATAATCTAAACTTTAAGATTAAGCCATATTGACCCAAATAATTATCAAGATTCTAGTTCTAATTTTAATTGATTCTTATTTTTCACTAATTATAAAACCATAACTAATTCCGAATTTAAAGAATATAAAATTATAAATCAAGGTTCAAATTTTTATTAAAGCATGTTTAATTTGGCCGGTCACTTGAGTGAAAACTACTTTTTAAAATTTGCGTTAAATTTTATTTCAACTTTTATGATAGATGGTTATTTTCAAACCAAATATATACTACAAAATTTTAAAAGAAAATGTAACATTTGCTTACCCATAGAACGGCAACCATATCCTGATCTGATAGTTTGTCCGGTTCTTTGAGGGAGAACAAAACATCCACGAAGTCATGTCTTTCTCCGGATTGAATTCTATGCTCTTGAATAATTTTGTTCACGAACTGGTTGACTTTAGGGACCAGTTTTGAGCATCTGGACCGGATATTTTGAAGGTCTAGACCGGATAACCACGGAAGATGATCAGACAAATTAAGCTTTCCTAGTAAGTCATAACCTTCTCCAACGAGCCGGCTCAGTTCTTCAGTTTCGCTGTTTGAGGAACTCAGTTCATATTTCCGACCAAACACCGCCGACATCATGCTGTTGAGAGATGCCTTCTTGACAATATCCCGCACAGGGAATATTCCTCCTCCATGACATGAAACCAAAGAAACTATTTGAGTGGCAATATGGAACCGCTGTTCCTCGGTGGAGCTGATTTGTTTCGGACAGAAGAGATGTGTTGCAGCGATTCTTCTTAGAGTTCGCCAATAACCTCCATAAGGAGCGAAACCGATGGCTCTGTTGAACATGAGATTATAAGCAGACTCTTTCATGGGACGATCAGCAAATACGGAGCTGTTTAGGATCTCTTTTGCCACATCAGGGTTGCAAGTGATGATGACCCGGGTATCACCCAAGCTAAAAGCCATAAGCCGCTTAGCACCAAAGGACTTGGCAGCTGCAGTGAGCTTGTGGTGAGCCAAGTTAGCCATGAGTTTTACGCTTCCAACAACCGGGAGGCCTCGTGGTCCTGGGATGGGTTTGGTTCCGGCTCCTCTCTTGCTTCCATAATACTTACCCCAAGCTTGACCCCCAGGATGTGCCCAGAAGCAAAGAACCATGGCTAACCAAGCCATGCAAAGAAAAAACAGAATCAAAAAGGCGTTTTGGGACGAGAAAGTAATGCACTTGGAAGCAAGAAGCAGAATCCAGCAGATATCAGCGTATTTTTCCATGGAGGGAAAATTGAAAAATAACTTTTTGTGGAAATATAGGAGGGTGCCCTTCTCAGTATACTGAGGTTTTCCTTTTTTGGGTTAAAAGGAAACTGAGCAAGGGTGGTATATATAGACACTTTGCTTGCGAGAACAAGAGTAAGTAAGCAAGTTGGAAGGGAATATTTCTCTGTTTTTGATATTAACTCAATATCCACATGTTACATTTTACTTCGATTAATTTGAATTTAAAATTTATCAAATTTCATAAATAAAAAATTATAATAATATTTATTTTTTATTTATAAAACTTAAATTCTAAATTATATTTAAAGAAAACTGGATTATTTCCCCCCGATCAACCGTAGTTGTTGGAAGGGAATAATTTCACGTAACGGAAATATGGATAGAAATTAATGAAATATCAGTGTGCGCCGCCAGAAGGTGATAACGGAAATGAGAGTGGCAAATAGCTCCACGCTAAATAAATCGCCTGATTCATTTTCTTGTAACCGTACAGCTATCTTTTGGCTGTAGGCTGTAGCTATCAAAACCACCTAGGTAACCCATCTAGTTAGGTTAATCGTATTTGAGTTTGGATTTCGTTACGTCGTTTTTATTCCTTTTTACATAGCAATTGTGGAGGGAAAGATACTAAAATATTTTTGTTGTGATTTTGAAAGATAAGTTAAAAATGAAAAAGAGCGTTTTACCAGATAAATTATATATTAAAAATATAATTTAATATATAATACAGATTGCAATATATAAATTTTTAAATAAAAATATAAAAACTATTATATATTTTACATTGTATCAAATTATATAATATTTATTATTAAATAAAAGTTAAATTTTGTATTGAAAATTATGTTTCGTCAAATGATTCATGTTTTAGGATTTATATTATAAAATAAAAAACTTTAAAAAATATATTTTTTTAAATTTTAAAGTTTGTAACATGAAAAACAATTTTTTTTTATCTTCTATCCTATTCCACAAACATCTTTACAACACAAAATCTTTTATTTTCATAAAAAAAATTATCATTAGACAACTTAATTCATTGACAAAATATAAATTTTAGTGAATTACTTAATCAACTCAATAATACTGTTTTTATTAGTAAAAATAAAAATTGCGTGATGCTGACGCATGCGGGATCACAGCTTTGATAATGAGCCAAAAATCACATTTGTATTGAGACACGTGTGTTTCGGTTCTGCTTTCGCGCGCACCAATGCTCGCCGGCGCCGGTGAAATCTGAACGCTCCACTGCACTGATTTGTCTTGATCAAGTGCCCGTAAGGGCAGGGATATAATTATCATATTTGGAGCAATGGACAACACATGGAAAAGGATAATCCAGTGGACGCATCTTCAATTGTCCATATCACCATCGGTCCCAACTGAAATCCCCAGTATCAATATGATGGAGTTGACTAGACCCGGACTTGGACCGGATCGGGTAAAGTCAGTCCGCATTGACCACGAGCAAGACGACTTGATAGTCTAAGTACATGACACGCACACATTCATCCATGGGACTCTTCTCTTTTTCTCCTAAATTTGTAATCCAATTCAAACCCCTTCTTTTCTTGTTACCAGGAATGTCATAAAACAACCAAGGTTTTGAAAAAAATAAGAGTCGTCATCGTTATTATATAATTCAATTACATACTAAAAATATATTATTTTTTACTGACAAGAACACGTGACTTACACAGTCTTAACTGGTGGTGAGTGCAGATCGTCACCCCTGACTATATATGGCCCCTCCATGGTCAACACAAGGATGAATATTAAATTCAAAGATTACGAAGTATAAAGATCTTTTGGGGATAGACAAAGATCTTGCTCGGGCAAGCAGCTTTTATTCTTACCACGTTTTCTATCATAAAATTTTGCTTTGAGTACAATTTGAAAAGTACTTATTCCATGATATATATGTATATATATTTTGAATGTTAGGATATAACTCGAATATCGCATCTTAAATCAATATAAAAATATTTTTATAATAAATTAATAATCATTAAATCACGAGCTGTTCTCATTGTTTAGTAAAATATTAAAGTGATCGAATGTTAGAACGTGGAATTTAGGACCTAGCTAGGCTCCGCCCTTCCTTTGGGGTTCAAGGATCCCAATACCCAACCCATAATGGCTGTTAGCCAACCATATAACATTTTTGTTGAAAGCAAATTCCTAGTTGTTTAGATTCCGTGCGTGGCGAATGCTGATAATAAAAGGACCAAGACTTATCTTTCTTTTCTTTTCTTTTTTTAAGATGAATTAAAATTTAATTAATTTGAAGTATAATGAGTATTTATTTTGTTTGTTTGATTTATGAATCAAACTAATTAAACATGGGTTTCTTTTAATTTGTGTTTTTGGAATGTGACTTGCACTTAGAATTATGTCAAGCAAGATCGCCAATTAATGGACATGTGCTGCACTTAAGAGTAGTTAATTAATTGAAGGCGAAAAAGGGGCATGCAGCAGGGACAATGAAATCCATTTTTCTGATAGTGCGTCTTAGCTTTCTAGGCTTGATTTATAGAGCTAATTAATAAAACTAGGTGCTTCATTCTAAAGAGTAATTATAAAATTCACAAGTAGAGAATTGTTTACTTTGGGTTGCTATGATGAATCTCAGAAAGCAAATCCCATCTGATAATTAATCTAATGCCACAAACTGCATTTGAGCGCTTGGCACAACTGGTTAGTGCATCCAGTTGGCGCATACCAGCTCTTAGGTTCTTTTCCATTCTCCCTCCCCCAAATTGCCTTGTATGATCAGAAAGAAAAAGAAATCCACAAAGGCTCTTGCGTTTATGTTATTCAAATATAATTTGTTTGCTCTACCAGTTCTTTTGGGTTGAATATATGCCACAATATATATATATATATATATGTAAATTAAGTAGAGATTTATTCACATATGCAAGTCTTATATGTCACATTTATACCAACTCTTGACTATTCATCTCGAACTTCACTTTCAATTGTTATGATTAATCACAACTTTTTTAGTGAAAAAAATAATTGCTTTTAAAAAATATGATAAAAAATAAATAAATTTTAACTATTAAAAATAACAAGATAAATTGTTAAGATTTTATATAAGTGTGGTATATCAAATTTGTGTGTAATTGAATTATTACTCATATATATATATATATAAACTGATTGGTATATATTTGGTTTAATACACTTTTTTACACTTGTTTTGGTTTGGATATTAAAATATAATATAAATGTAACTGATTTAATCAATTTCTACATTTTCTATGTACAGTTGTATCTTTAATTTTTTTTCTACTTTTAATTTTAGATAAGAAAATAATAAATTTTTAGTGAGTACATTGAATCGAAGTGATATATATATATATATATATATATATGAGGGATCCACTTATACACAAATCTTACACATTACATTTATACAAAATCTCGACAATTTATTTTTCTACTTTTAATGGTTGAAATTTATTATGACTTTTAAAATGAAAAAAATAATTATCATTAATAAATGTGAATAATTCTCAACCATTGAATATAGAGAAATGATTGAGTAAGATTTTGTGTAAGTATGATATGTAAGTAGATTTCTGTGTAAGATATGAATATTTTTTGTAATGGAATATTAATCCTTTCTTATCTTTTGTTTGGCAAGTGCCAACTAGTCTTTTAACTCAATTTGCAGGAGAATAGATTCACTTTTTCTCTATTTGCTTAAGAGTTTAATGTTTTGTACTTTGGTGACAAAAACCACCAGACGAGGGAAGTAATCCTAATATCAAAAGGTTCACTTTAATTTAATGATTTATTTTGTATGATTTAGTGTAGTTCAAACTACAAAAACACATTTTTGTTCGATTGAAGCCTGTCCATTGATATATTAATGGTTAATATGGGATGTGACTAGCACGAGTATGTGAGAGTTGGATTAAGTATACCTTAGACCATTTATGTGTTGGAACTTAAATATTTTAATAAAAAATAAAAGAATATATTTTATGAATTAAATTTATTGTGCCATTAAGGGTTTGGTCAAATTAGTCGTTATAGGTTAATTGTCCAACTTAAAGGTATATTATTACGTAATAATTGCCTAATTTATTACTATCATTAACTTATAAATGAGAATTACGAGACCATAAGTCCTATAAATATTACATGTGTTTTTGCTAAAAAAAAGTATTCCTACACATTCTCCTATTTTCCTTACTTTACTTCTAAATATTCTTAGGTAAGAAAGGGTGTTTTGAGTAATATGACTCTATAAGTAGTGCAGATCCATAGAGTATTATTATGAAGTTGTAGCACCCTGGGGGCAATATGCTATATATATATATATATATATATCTACTGCACTGGTTGATTTACTTTTCACAAAGGTGCAGAGGTGTGAATCATCTTAAAATAAGTAAGCTTTTCACACTTATTTTGATGATATTTTCTTATCGATATTTCTTGATAAATTAACTAATTATTATTTTATTTGATCTTATGATCGAGGCACAACAATGACATGATGTGGAGATGGAGGAGAGTGTTTGAGGAACAACAATTTTAAGGCGATTCAATATGCAAAGCAGAATTGAAACAAATACCATGTTGTGCTATCAAAATATTATTTGTTTTAAGGTCTCAAAACAGGTATGAGTTCTTGGTATAAATCTAGGCCAAAAAGTTGAGGATACCATACAATACTTTCTATACTTTTGTTGTAGAGTAATGTATGCAAATATGTGCTTTTTTTGCTGCTGCCGTACTCCTTAATTTATGAGACATTTTCAACTATTTTTCTTTTTTTAAAAGGAACACGTGGCATGTGAAATCGGTATACCATGATGCTATCTTTAAAGAGTTGTGTTTGTAGCTAATAAATTTCAAAATGAATGTGGTTATTAGTTGGGTGTTTTGACATGGTCGTTTATGGGCTATTGTTAGCCTTAATTAAAATACATTTATTGTGTAATTTATTTACAACAGTAAAAATTAATTAAATGCATTTATATATAATAGTTCACTTGCTTATGGCATGATTATGAACACATTAAAATGAGGTAGCCATTTGTTTTTAATGCATTGCCAATA